GTGGTTCTTGTATTAGTAATTAGAGGGCATTAATTTATATATGAACATTTTAGAGGATTACGTATTGTTCAAAATGATCCTTTGACTTGTTTAAATTATCATTTTTGGAATTAAAATCATTAAGACCTGAAAAAAAAAAAGAATTGGACTTCAATAAAATAAAAAATAAATAAAATAAATAAATGAGTCATGAATATCAAAGAAAAAAATTTAAACTTTAAAGTACTATTTTTGGTTAAGAAGTGAATATGGACATTTCAGATAATGGTCTTTTGGTCACTACATTTTTATTGCATTTGTTTTTGATGCTGTACAATTCAAAGCATCTGCAATTTACCTTTGATCCTTGGCTCACCGTCGACTAAGGATTTATTCCCAGAATCTGATTTTTAAAGTATTACCTGTTTAGTGTGTGTATATGCCAAATTAAAAATGTGTTTCCATTTATGAAAAATGTCTTAGGTTTTGATGTCAGGGGTTCTGGTTGATCTGAAAACTACTGGTAAAGGAAAGTCTCCGTTTAAAGACTGTCCCCCGTGAATCGGTAACAGTGCTGTACTGTGGCTGCTATCCCGCAGCTGTCTCAGCTGAGTCTTGTTCTTTGCATTGGTATTTCCATCTGCTCAGTCTACTGATGTTGGCACTTTTGAGCAACTGAGCATACTGCTAATGATATGTGGTGATCTTAGCTTCCTTTCAAACAGCAGAGGCCTTCTCACAGTGTTGTTCCCTACAGGGTTAGGAGGCAGTTTTCATGTATTGTCTGCTGCGTGCCAAGAATGTGCTCAGTGCTGGGGAGACAGGCATTCCTGTGCTTCTGGACGTTACTATCAGAGGACTTTTTATCCTTCCCCTCAAAATGTTTGAGCAATTTATTTCTATTAGATACCATATCTCCTGCAAAGACTTATAAATGGGGGAGCACTATTAAGTCACTGAGAAAAAATGTTCTAAATGTACAATATTCCATTACCCTGCTAAAACTCCTCTTAAAAAGAAAGAAAGAAAAGTCAGTTTCACAGGCTCACAGTCCTCCGCCTTTTTGTTATGTTCTCTTTGCATTACTGTTGCCTGCTTTTTGCTTGTTTTCTCTAGGTTTGGGGGTTTTTTCCTTCTTGTTTCTTTAGATAACTAAGAAAACTTGAAGGAGAAGCTACCCTCTGCTTTTTTGTTATCCATATTTGTTCTCCTCTGTTTTGATTATGAATGTCATGTCTTTTTCCTCAAACTGCTTTCAATCCATATTTAGCAAAGCTTCATTTAACATTGAGAAGACTCAAGTTAAGAGTGAAGTTCTGTGGCTTATTATAATTTTTTATTTATTGTGATTCAAGTAGTAAAAAAATGGAAATATGAAGTTTAGAGTTATATCCTCAGGCCTCCTAGTTTTCAGAATTTTAACATTGAAAGTACTCGATGTGAAGACACCTAGATATTTGAAACCATCATGTTGTTCCTTGTTGGCTTTACAAACTAACCGATAGCACACCCAGCGCCATCATGTTAACCTTGACCCCGAGCCCCTATGTATTCAGCAAACATTTCTTTATAGTTTACTATTAGTTTTACAGAGCAACATTTCCTTTATCTCTCTTACAAATTCATTTTTCAAAAACTGGGAATATTCCCTTACTTTATAGTCCCTATTCCCCTGAGATATCTCCTCCACTTCTATTCCTTGGATGTCAACCCAGGGCTCCTGGTAAAAGTCTATTTCTTAAATAAAATTTTTTATTGATTCTATCTCCTGGAGGCAACTGTATTCTCACTCTATAGTCTACATAACTTCAAGTATGCTCCCTGTGTTGTCTATTTCTAACCCCACTTTATCACTTTGATGACTTGCTGTTTTGCCTCACTTAGTAACTTATATTTTTAATAATCACAGAATCATTACGAGATTTTACAAGTCTATTAGTTAAATGAATTAATTCACTGACACCTAGTCAACAATTATCACAATAAATTTGTAGTGTAGTTATATGTCACTCATTAAATGCTATTCTTTGAATGCCTGTGCTGCTGTTAAGGTCTACTTTGAGTTGAAATTGTTTGAGAAAGATGAAATTAAATTTCCAATGCTTAAAGAATAGATTGGATGGAATATTTATATTAATCTATTTTTTCTGTTATACAGTAAAATGATATCACTTTATATTGCCTAAACTGTTACTTAGAAATAAACATTTAGACACTTTTAAATAAAAGAATTGTAATATGTTATATTAAATTTCCCAGCATATAGTACTCTATAATAACATTGTTATTATTTGGCTACAATTACTATTTTGATAAACTACATAGCTTAATAATAAAAATATCCTAATTGTCATTGATCATTAAAATTCATTTACCTTCTTTAAAAAATGTATAGAAGCAATTTTTTTAGTATTTCAATCTAACACAGATAAGTGAAATTTTACTGTATTTTTTAATTTCCATAAGTTTGAGCAATTTTATTTTTTACTTGGATACACATACCTATTCCTTTTAACTGTGCTCTTGTGAGAAGGTATTGATGAACTTGATTTAATCAAGTTTACTGCATATAAGTAATATCTCAGTAAAAGTCTATCCAATGTAATTTCTACACTGAAACCACACTGTAATACTATTTTTGATGCAATGGAATTAAGTCAATTTGAGATTCCATGGCATTTAAATGAAATTGTTTCATGTAAGTATTGAGTTCCACCCATGGACCTGAACCATACAAAGTTAGTGATGCTCCAGTGTATTTCCTTTGAAAGAAATGCAGACATTTATTTGTACTTTCTTATTATAGGCTCCCAGCAGTCTCATGGAGACCCTTGAACAGCATCTAAATACATTAGAAGGAAAGAAACCCGGAAACAAGTACGCATTAGTTATATATTCTAAATAAGATGAAAAATACTGGAGTCGTTCTTGATAAAAATGAAAGTCAGCATCATGCAATTTCTACCATTCAAGTTTAAGGGTACGCTTCCTCGTAACTCTCCTGGGTTTCCTTAGCAAGCATGCCTTTCCCATTAGCTTGTGACAGTGTGACCTCGTGTGTAGGCTGTCTATCTGCATTCTAAGAAAGCAAGTTTTAGTAGATTATACTTATTAAGCTGAACATACTGATTTGTATATTTGGCCTTAGAATAGACACAACAACATACAGAAAAGGAGTTTCTCATGTTTTAAAAAGAAACTTTTATCATAGGGATAAGTAAATACAAGATACAGTTTTTCTCCCCACGTAGAAGAAAGCTAAGTCCTCAAGTACAGCTTTCTGAACTCCAACATCTCCCTGCTTGGACAGATATGCACAGCATGCTGCTTTCAAAGAACTCAGGGATCTTTTTATTAATTGTAGCAGCAATCGAGTAGGGAAGAAGTGCAATTTTACTAGATTTCCATACCTTTGTGTCTACACAGTTATATATATGTTTATTATGTTTCCTCATATCATGCAGAAAACTTCCAAGTTTCATTTTATTCTTCTCTTCGGCAGGTGTCAAATCTCTGTATTCACAAGACCCTGTTTTTTCCAGCCTTGTTTGTGCCTTGTTCTTACTCAAATTCTGACAGTTTGGTATGACAGCTACCCTTGTCTCTGCCCTGCCTTGGAGAGCTGTCTTCAGTTCTACCTTGATCATATATTCCCTTGTGTTGTGGCTGCTCCCTTTCCTGCTATTATGATTTATCTTACCAAACAGATTTTGTGATTCTCAATGTCAGGAGCTATTTTGTACTTCATTTTCTCCACCTAAACACCCAATGAAGTCTTTTCAGAAAGAATCAACTTGAAATATGTCTTTGTTGGTGCTGCAAGATTTATCCATGTTTATTCTATGATACTGACAGCAGAAATCAGCAGAGACAACCTATAAGATTATCGTGGACGACACGGAGGGAGGGAGTAGGCTGATCATGAGCCTTACGTATGATGTAGCTATCAAACTACAACTCCTCTCTGAGTATTCTTTGGGAATCCAGACTTGACAATTACACTTAGTTGGTTGTTTCAGTAGCTATGTGTTGTTTCTAAGTTAGTGTAGGAGTCATTGTGCATTTAAATTTTTCAGGTATGAGTAACCAGGTAGCCATCGCTCAGCAATATGACCTAGCTGTTTGGAATACTGGATGTTGGAAACTCTCTGAAACTTTGTCCAAGTCCAGCTTCCGGGGGGCTGTGGATGATGTTTGTGGGTAGATGAATGTCATTCCCATGTAGCTTCTGAGAATTGTCTCCAAAAAGATAAACTGTAGATATTTAGTTCATTTTAGAAAAGTGAAATAAAAACATAATAATCTTCTCTTTTGGTTATCTTTTGACTATCATAATTTTCTCTCTCACCTCCCTAACCATTAAATGCTTGTCATGTCTTCTCTGAATGGGCTGAGGCCATGTTGAACTTGTCTTCTGCATATTCCCTATTTTAAGATGAAATAAGCTATAGTAGTTAACTATTTTCTCCTTTGTATATTCGTGCTTACCTGGGAACTTAAGTGAAGGGTGAGTACTACACCGAGTGATTTTTTTTGCATTTGGTCATTACTAAAATGCAAAAACACTCTTAGGGTTCCACATTTGGTATTTAGAACATTTTATACTGATCTCTGTCAGTCCACACACCTGCTTTTTATTTCTTTAGCTATATTCTTTTTTGTCCTTTGTCTCTCAAGTTGACTAGCATAAATGGTTTTACTCTTTTTTTCGTATATCCTAGATCAAAATTACCATCTCAGTTACATTTTAAGTATCCAAGGTTTTCTACTTGCTTACTAAAAAAATTATTTTCCTCAGCAGAAGTACCAAAAGAAAATTTAAAAAGGAAATTTATTACTTTAAACTATTCTATTTTTCACTAACAAAATAAAACTGTCCTAATTTCCAAGTCAAGTAAATCCATAAAAACAAACGTTCAAGTATCTGCTATGGAATATGTGCATGTGCCTTTTATATTTAATGCTTGTGTCCACTAATATCTATTATGAAAACGTACGCACTACTTTGCTCCACAGAACAAAAGAGAAAACTTGATTTTATATGAGTTTACTAAGTTTGGGACAAGAGGTAGGGGTAAAGATACAGAAAGTGTAAAATAAGCCATTTATAATTAACATTACTTGGAAGATTTAGACAGATTTTTACATCTACACCATTTAAAAAAAAATTTCGGGCCAGTACCTAGACCTGAAACAATATAGGAATTATTATTACAGATAGAGTAAGAAATAACCAAGTTTCTTTTTTGGACAGCTTACTGTTAGTGTTTTGAAAGGAGACCTCACTGTTTTTGCTGTATTCATAATAAACATCCATAGCTTCATTTGTAGCATTCTATGGAATTTTGAGTAGACTACTATGTGGGTCATCAATTCTATTTTTAAATTACCTCTGTGCTTGTTTTTTCTCCAATGAAGTGCTTTGTGTACCAGATTTTTCTACATTAAATTGTTAAAATAAGTATTAATCTTTATAAATGTGTGTGTGTATGTGTGTGTGTGTGTGTGTAAGGAGCCCCGATGGAGAAAGGACTATGCAGCAGTGGATGCTCACTGAAATCTTAGTGAGCACATCCAGGGGCCAAGGGAAAAGTCCATGCTATCTGTGCCCATAAGGATTGCAACCTACAGCTACTCTGTTGCTAGGAATTGAAATCGACTTTATGGTACCCAGTAATAACTACAATGTGTATGCATGCGTGCGCACACACACACACACACACACACACACACACACACACACACGCTTTCTTCTATAAAGGGCAAATGTAATGTTATGTTCTGTGTAAGAGAACAAATGTGCCGGTCTTAGGGGCTTTGGATATCAAACAGACTGGACTCGGCGCTTGAATATACTATTATGTAATAGCATAACTTTGGCACATTTTTAGTTTAGTTGAGCTTCAGAACATTCAGATTTTATTCAGTGATTGGTGTTGCTTTTTAATCTATGGCCACATGGGAGCACCTTTAGCTATGAAATTTCGGCAGAGGCTGGAGCTGATCCACGGGAATATTAGACATATATTATTTTAGTTTCATGTAAATACGTTTTAAGAATTTTGTTATATTTTGTTATATTTCAAATAACACAAATATATTTAAGTACCTGAAAAAAAGGCCAGCTGCTATATAGTGTAGTACTGATATAAAATAGTTAAGTTTGAGTTCCTTCTTTTTGAACAATTTACCATTTCGTGGATAGAAGAGACAATTAAGCTGATAATTGAGATACAGTGTGGTATACGAGATGATAGGTCAGCAGAGGCATTAGGAGATTTGCATTTTGATTAATCTAGGAGGTGATTATATTTGTCTTTTTGTAATAGCACTCATGCAGAAACTTGACAAACTAATTCCTGCACAACTGGTAATTTTCATATTTATCTTAGAATGTGATCTCCTTTAATAACAGCAATTCTTTCATTTTTTACTATATTTTTATTTTTCTATAAGCCATGTTCTATATTCTAATATATCATGTATGTTTGGAAATATGTCAAAAAATCTTACTTATCATCTCCCTTTGTTTATATTTCTCAAAGCATGAAAGTTGCTTGCAACTTTAAACTAATTTAAATCAATTTATTTTTAGAAAATGGTCCTGTCAAATGGTTTCTGTTTCCATTGCAGTGTTGGGCTTATTACTTCCTGGGCACATTTTAATTTAGACTTTAGACCCTTCCTTTTTCATATTTATAGAGAATGTAGTGGTAGGATGGAAGACTTATTAGCCAAAAACTCTTTAGAAAATTTTTACCCTCATTCTGTACTAGATTTTTGGGTTCTGACGCAACTTTTTGTAGATATAGAGAATACTTAGGAATCCTCTTATTTCTGTAGAGACTTTGAAATTACTCATATAGATAATTTTCTTCATTTAATTTGTATTTAATCAAAATAAATGCTTATGCTGTCATTAAATAGAAGCTCTGGCCGGGTAATGGTTATGCATTGGGCTGCTAACTATTAGGTCAGCAGTTCAAAACCACCAACCACTTCTCAATAGAAGCACTTTCTACTCCTGTAAAGAGCCTCAGTCTTGCAAACTCTCACGGGGTCAGTTCTACCCTGTCCTGTAGGGTGGCTATGAGTTGTCATAGACTTGATAATGAGTTTGGTTTGGGATAGTGTCATTCTATAGTAAAAATGTCTGTGTTCCCATGCTTTATGTTATTTGAATTCATGTTAATTAACAACTAGATTCAAGCAGGAAATGGCAGACATATAGGACAAATGATGTTGATCTCAAAAGGCATTAATCAATCATATAGTTCTGTTAAATTTCTTTGAATATGTCCAGGAAAACAAAAATTCTTGACATTGTGCAAAATTCCAGTGATAAAACCTCTGCCTGTTTTGTTTTACTACTGCTGTGTGGGATGTTTTCTCTGAAACTAAATAGAAAGCTATTGCTGCCATGCCTAAGATCCTGAGAATTAGCCTCCCTTTATTTGTTATCAGCTTGTGTGCCACTAACTCAGTTCAGTAGAATATGAGCTCTTCATAGAGTGCTTTATGAATAGTGTATGACTGACTAGACTTGGTGTATGAGAGTCAATCTAACAAAACAAAGTATACCTTCCTAATTTCCACTATTCCCTTAGAAATAAACATGGAGTTTACAGTTTCTTTACAAGTTCCCACTAATAATAACAAAATGATGGTTTGTTTGGTTTTTTGCTGAATACATTTTATTATGAAAGCATTCCTCACCCTGAGAAACTAAAGATTTTCTTAAATTTCTTTTCAAAGTTATAATATTTTTTGTATTTTTATGTAATGAAACAGCTCCCCAGTGATGCTGACCCAAAGCCAGGATTTTTTCCTAAAGAGTTTTCACTATAACAATGCAAGGAACTAGACAAACTTCAGGAATGTATATATGGAAATTGAGACATACTTAAGATACTGGCTCATAAAGATCCTTTTTATAATACTTTTCATGCATAAAATTGTGATTATTAAAATCAAAATTTACTTTAGCTTCAGTGAGTTTTTGAACTGAAAAAGTGAAACAAAGCATATTTTAGTCTATCCAGGATGATTTTTTTCTTACATCTTGGAAAAATTCAATAAAATTAAATTAAAAGTTAATTTTTATTGAATGAGAATAGATTTAATGAAGTTTTGAATTGCTGGAGATACAAAAAATATTTTTAATTTAATAATTTATAGTACTGGAAAGTATATGGGTAGGAATACTTAGAAAAAATGTTATAATTAAGTAAAAGATAAAAATAAATATTAAAATACTTTAGCTATTACTAAAAGCGCATTCATGTAAAAATGTTAATGCTTGACCAAATGGTATTTCCAAACTTTCATGCTTCCATATATGTATTTGTGTATATTCAGTTTTAATTTTTTTATATTATCTTTTAGATCTGGTGCTCCCTCTCCATTAAGTAAGGTAAGTGTCTGTGTATTCAGTTTTATATTAGTTTCTCAGTGCAAGGTAGCATAACAAAGTCCTCTGAAATAAAATTTTTTTAAAATAAGAGAACCTTCCATTCACATCTATTACAACTGAAAACAAATTAGTAGAATTGGTTGCAAGACACTTTAACTTCCCATATATACTCGTGTATAAGCCGAGTTTTCCAGCACATTTTTAATGCAATTTTTGTGGTTAAATGAGGTGCCCCAGCTGATATTCGGGCCGGCTTATCCTCGAGCGTACACGGTAAACTAAATCCTGGCCCTAGGAGATCCATAAGGAAAGTAATGCTAGGCGTATCTTAATGAGAGAGGAATCACTCGTTGTTAGGGGTCTTTAACAAGCGTGTCTCGGACAAACTTGTATCACCATTTTAAAAACTCCATCCCTTTCAGGTTGAAGGAGCAGAACTCAGGCTATCAGTGAGAAGAGTGTTTACATCTGTAGATCTGTAACTTACATTTGTCCTTATATTTTCCAGGCAAAATTGTAGCAAACGTACTCTTTGGTCTTTAACTGATTTCCATCATTTAATTGCTGTCTCTACATTCCGGATATCATCCTGACTGCACTTGTGTCCTGTTGCCAGGGCCTGGCTGTCTGCAGAAGGGTCTCTTGGGGAGCTCAAATAAGTAATGGAATCAAACCAAACAATTAACAGCGTCTATATTACAAATGGCAACGTATAATTGTTGTGCAGATTGTGATAAAATTGTGGCAGCCTTACACATAGTATATTTCTACACTTAGGCCAGACAGAATGCATTCTGTTGGTTCTCATTTCTTAGCTCTGACATCTTTATAGAGCTTGTTCAAAAAAGTTTTGTTGTTATTGTTGTTTGGTGGTAAGTTATAAGGGGTTTCAAAACATTTGTGGGAAAATTCCATTATCTTTTTAATTCTACTTTCCACAAACTTTTGGAAGCTCTCTTCATATATAACAAAGTATTTGCAAATTAGCCCTTTATCACTCATCCACTATGTCATGCGCTCATCTCCACTACCCATTTCCAAATGTTTTCCATCCTCCTGAGCAGAAACTCAGTGCCCTTAGTTAATAATCCCCATTTGCCTCCTGATAATCACTAATAAACTTTTGTCTCGATGCATTTGCACCTGGTGATTTGTAATGGACTTTTGTAAATACGTCATTTCTGCTTTTTTATTGGTAGCATTTATTGATGTCATTAAGCTCTCTGTGATATTTCATCAACATCATTTTGTAAGTGCATTTAGACACATTCATTTAAAAAAAGGGAAGAAAAGAAAAGATTTTTGTAAGAGGAGTTGTTCATGTCTAAAGATGACATGCAAATTAATCATTTATATAACTCGTGATGAACTTCTGTTTTCCATCTGGAAATTTGGATTTTAGGTGACGAGGCAGGTTGGGTTGACATTTTCTGAGCAGTAATACCAATGTTAGGAGTCTTGACATTACACTGGTTATGCACTCAACAACTAGGCAAATAGTCGTCAGTTCAAACCCCACCAGCCACTCCCTAGGAGAAAGGACGTGGCTATCTACTCTTGTGAAGATTATAGTTTAGGAAATCCCCTGGGGTAATCCTACCCTGTCCTGTAGAGGTGATATAAATTAGAATGGACTGGACAATAAGAACAATATCCATACTATTTGTGTGGTTTTCTTTATGGAAAGACTCAGGGCTTGGCACGTGTGTGTCTGTTGGCTTTTTTCGCATCGTTTGGTTAACATTCATAGACAAATAGTACTTAAGTCTGAAAAGTCATGTACATTTCTCATCTCCACACCCCTTTACCTTAAGTTTTGCTTTGAAAAATGTTCTTTCAGTTTGGTATTTCAAATTAATGTTCAGTTATGACAGTATCTGATAGCCCTTGTAGTGTAGCCTTGGTCTTGGTGTATTATATTGCTGATATGTGCCATTTATAGAACTGTATTGATAGACTACTGTGAGATATTTCATCAGTATTTCTTTTGCAAACGCGTAGAGGATTAAAGGCACCAGAAAATGTAACTTGACAGTTACTAGACAAAATGCTTAATTTTAATAATATATTAGCTGATTACTAAATTCCTCTTCTTAAAAATAAGCCAGTCCACCAAAATACATGTATAGATTTCTTCTTTTTATTTATTTTGACCTATATTATATCAGTTACAAGATATATTCAAGATATTATCAAGCTTTGAGGAACTCATGCCTTGTTTGTAAATCGTTCTTGGCGGTCTGTGAACTATTTTGCAAGTTAGATTTCTGGATTTTAAAGGCACCTGAGAGACTTCATGTGACGTCCAATTAGGGTGAGATGAAAAAGAGTGGCTTGGGTTTTGTAGCAATTGTGAAAAATTGATAATGTTAAAAAATTTTAACAACAAGAGAGATTTTTCCCACTGATTTTATATCCAGAGGATACTTTTAGTTTTGTGTTTAAGTACATGGCTAGATGTTGTTTAAATGGTAGGCCACACTTTTTATTACAATTTTACATACACTAAACTTTTAAAATCTGAGATCATCCATATCGATTATCCAACTTTTCTTGGGGTGTTTTTTTGGCCTTTGTCGTTGTTGTTTCCTTTCCTGCCCTCCGGGGACTTAGCAGACACTCACTAGGGAGGTCCTGCGTTGAGAAGCCCAGTCCTGCTGCTCTACGTCCCGCAGGTGCATATCTGACTAGAGTGTGTTGTGCATCTTCCTTGCAGTCTTCTCCAGCCACAACCGTTACGTCGCCTAATTCCACACCAGCGAAAACCGTTGACACTTCCCCTCCGGTTGATTTATTTGCAACTGCGTCTGCTGCTGCCCCAGTCAGGTTAGTTAAAGAGTGTACAGTGTTTGTTCATATTGTGACAGGCTTCTATTCTATGTACTATACCCAGATAATTTCACAAAGTACAATGTAGCCCTAGTAACCTATGATATTTCGGAGGAGGTTAGATACATAGGTAAGTTCTTTTACACTATATATAGAAATTCAGGCCTGTATTACTATATATTGTGTCAAAGCATTTAGCAAACCCAAGCTGTAGAAATCACTCTGTTGTTTGCAAAAAGAAGTAAAAGATAGATCCGTGTGCATCAGTGACTACTGGACTTGGCTACTGTGGAAAATGTTTCCACAAATAATTTCTCCTTGGGGGAAACTTAAAAGGTGTCTTGAAAAAACAACAAAAAAGCTGCAGCTATCAGCTAATAATCTATGCTGGTAGGGAAAAAACTTTTGGTTTGTTCCAAACCTGTTTTCCTAAGGCCTAGAGGTTAAGGGCAGTGCTAGTTCAGTGGTAGAACTCCCACCATCCCAACAGGAAACCTGGACTCTCTGCCCGGCCAGTGCTGGCCTTGCAGATTGCTCTGGGGCTGTCCGGGTCTCTGAAGGCTTCCAGCCTGACAGAAGGGGAAGGAGAGCCTGCTGACAGCTCTCTGGGCCTCAGTGGTCAGATCCCATTTTACATGGGGGTCCCCACGAGTCACAGGATCACAGTAGGACTGACTACACGTAGTACAAAATCTGCGGCTGCCTAACACAGAAGCCCCAGCATATAGGGTCACTTTCTCACATAATAATTTTGGTCGACTCTGGTTCCTTTGAACCAGATGACAATCTTTTTTTTGGTCACATTTCTGACTCAGATTATAAATGTCCTTTATTTGGAGAACTGAATTGTGGAAGACACACTAATTCCAGGTATTGCACCCATGTTACCTGTGTATGTTACTCTTTGATTGCTTATTTCTGTGTTTTGTAATAGCAAGTTCAATCTTTAAAAACCCTTTTTGCTACTATAGTAAGTTAAATTGCTTCTTATAAAAACTTTAGACTAGTTTTATCAATTAAATGGACATCAAAACTTTTCCAACCTCCAAAAAGGACAGCAAAATCTGTTTTCCAAGGAATCACTTGGAAAACCACAGTAGTTCAAACATGAAGATGGGACTTCCGTCTGCGTCTGCGAGGAGGGCCGGGGACCCAGAGGCCATGATGGCTTCATACCTGACCTGTTAACCTTTAGGTCAGTGCCTTTCAAATCTGAATAAGAAGCACCTGGGCGTTGTTAAAATGAAGATTCTGATTTAGGTGGTAGGGGCTAGAGCTGAGATTCTGCATGTGTGACAGGTCTCAAGATACTGATGGTTTGGGGACCACCTTTGAAGGCTCTGGGCCCCTTCCTGGAACATCAGAAAATGAAGGGGTTCAGTAAAAGAGGACCCCAGCCGAGTAAGCATTTAAAAATGCAGAACTAATTTTGATGTGATCTATTACATGTAAATGTGATATATGGTATTCTAATTAAATAACGGATAAATTACTGGTTAAGTATTTACATTAGAAAATTATTTTCTGGTTTCTAAATAAGTTCCTCTTGACATGATTTTTCCTATACAAAATAAATTTAGAAATTAAATGGAAAAACATAGTCATAAGGAAATAGTCTTCATAGACAGCATTTTAGAAGATATCCTATGGCTATAGTGTATTTAGGAAGATATCTTCCTTTGAAGTATGTGAGTTTTCCTTTTTCATTTTTACTACTATGATTTTATTGAGTGACCTTTGTTTACAGTACAATGGCTGTAAAGCAAAGGTCAGCAAACTACAGCCCCTGGGCCAAATCCTGTTCCCTTTGCTTTTAAAAATAAAATTTAATTAGAACAAAGGTGTGTTCATGTGCTTACATATTGTCTATGTCTGATTTGGGGCAACAATGGCAGAGTCAAGTAATGATAAAGGCCCTCAAAGCCTAAAATATTTGCCATCTGAACCTTTATAGATATAAAAAAAAAGCCCACCTTTGGTTTGCAATCACATTTGGTTCCCTTGGTGCCATATTTTTTGAAATATTATTCTTACTTTTATTTTATTTTAAATATCCAAAATATTAGCTCCCCCACCTTCCTAACTCATGACTTAAAAACATCATTACATTATAAAATCCCTAAACTCTGATTTTAAAACGCTGTGTTCCTTTCAGCTCTTCTAAGCCATCCAGTGATCTCCTTGACCTCCAACCTGACTTTTCCCCAGGAGGGGCAGCAGCAGCTGCGGCACCAGCACCCCCGCCACCTTCTGGAGGAGCCACGGCGTGGGGAGGTGAATGGCATTAGACAGGCGTGCCACTCTTGTCTGTTCACTTTAAGTTGTCATCTAATTTAGGCAAAAGATGCGTTCGTGATTAATTATTCATTTTAGTGATGTTTTCTCTGGTATATAAATAAATTCATCTCAAGCTATGAAATCTTTTCCATAGTACAAAAAAATTACAAAAGGAAAGGAAAAAGATACATGTAAATGTTTTTGCTTTGACTTTTAATTATCTTTCCCTTTCTGACCTCCAAATAGTGTTGAAAACTAAGAGGGGAAATACTCAGGATAGCAACTATTGGTTTATGAGAAAGTACTTATAATATGTCATAATTCACAGCTTTAAAAACCTTCTGCAGCAGTTCTGACACATGGGCCACACGAGTTGGAGTCAATTTGACAACAACTGACAATAGAGCTTTATTTGAAGTGTTGAAAAAAATGAAGTGTTTTCCTGTTCTATTCTAAAACTCTGATTATTTTAGTAATTGTCCTCCAAAAATTCAGCTCTCAGCATATTAAACCTCTTCATGAAGTTATGCTGTACTCAGACACAGCATTTCTAATATGCAGGGATATGCTACTTCATGGATTCCTTTAGATCGGAATTGGCTTCTTTCATATTATATTTGACTTTATGCCATTGAAACCCTATATAAATTCTGTGACAGTCCATATTAAACTGATTAAGAGTATCACATCTAAGCATTTGATTCACGGATTCAAAAAAACCAAACTTGATGATATCTATATTATTATTAGATATACTTTTGGCTTAAAAGTATAGCAAATAGTAATATAAAAATTAAGTTAATTACTGCATCCTTCTCAAAGCTGCACAGAGTTAGTTGTGCATCGACCTATCAAAGTGAAAGTTTCTTTCTATAAGCTCAGGGCTAGACATAAACTTACCCTATGGCTCAATTTTCAGCCCCCAAATACTCACTGCCTCTACTCATTTCCAACTCCCAATGACACAAGAGGACAAGTTAGAATTGCTTCTTATGTTTCTGAGACTATAAACCTTGATGGGAGCAGACAACCTCATTATCTCCCACTAACTAAACAATAGACAGGTCTATAAGGGGCACAGTAGCTTTAGGGAGATACATACACCTTAGAAGAACTAGCCATGTGAGATGGAATAATAATAATAATAAGGCAGTTTTACCCAAGGACAAAATTCAGAGGGTTAGGCAAGAAGGAGGACTGAAAGCAGGAACCAGGATAAATGATGTTACATTGTGGGGCTTGGAGTCCGTGACACAAAACAAAATGTGTGCGGTTTGTTGAATGGTGAACTATTCTGCTCTGTGAGCCTTCACACAATTCAAAATAAAAGTAACCAAAATAAAGGAAACAGAAGCAAAAGTTAAAAACATACCTACTGAGAGTTCATACAACTATAGAAGCAACAAAGGTGTAGAAGACTTAGTTTCCCGTCAAGCAGGAGACGATGGTGAATCTAGCCTGGAGTGTTCATTGAGACACCGGGTACAGGTCAATGTTTCAGCTTCACTTCTTCTTTCTTCCTGTGCTGCCACATCATGGACATTGATAGACCTTTTGGGAGAGGGTAAGTAAAGCTTTTTCTTTTTTTCGCTTCTGTTTTGAGAGATTTCCATATCTTAAAAACTGTACTTTGAGACTTTGGAATCTGGTGTATCGCTTGTCTTTTCTTGTTTTCTCTTCCATTGCTCTCTGTCTCTGGTTAAATCTAGATTCTTTGGCTGCACTAGCTTCTGTTCCCTCTGAAGCACAGATTTCAGATCCGTTTGCACCAGAACCTACCCTGCCTCCTACAGCTGCTGAAATCGCAACGGCTTCAGCGTCTGCCTCCACCACCACCACTGTTACTGCTGTCACAGCTGAGGTGGATCTCTTCGGAGGTTAGTCCTCACCATCGCTTCCGCTCCCCTTCAGGAGTGCTGACGTCGTTCATGTTGTTTACATCACGGAAAAACATGTCAGCATGGTTAAGCACTTCCTAAATGGGTAGGCTTACATAGGCATGTTTATCTTCAGGAAATGTATCACTTTATCTTAATTCTAGCATTTTTAGAGCAGACAGCACAATGTTTTAGGCCCATTGACTTTTTGTTTGCTTGGCTGGTTTTAATATGGACTTAAATTGCAACAGGAACTCTTGTTTCAGTGCTGTTTCCACCCTTCGGTACCTGTGTGAGAGTGGCATGAGCCTTCTCTGTCATATTTAGGTTTGCATTTTTGATCAGATTAGAGCTAGCATAATCTGTTTGAGTAATATGGGAGGGCAATTCTAGCCTAAATCACTTTCTAAGATTTACGGCTAGAGCAGTTCAGACTGAAGTTCTCTGCAGAGAGTCTAGGCTCTGCCTGGTACTCCATGTCAAGCTTACTGTGTTCTTTCGCTTGACCCATCTTTGGCTTTGCAACTTAAAAACATTTGCATCAGCCTTTGAAACTATGATGTGAAGCACGTTTAAGTCAATCTGGGACATGACTGTTTGAAAATATGCTTCCCATGAATATGTAAATTATGGCACAGAGTGATTTACAGCCTGAATAAAATATCCTTAGACTCTGCCAGTACAATGTACTTGAACCGCTGAAGTTAGTTTGTACAGAGTCCCATCAGAATGGCTGCTGATATTCAAACCTAGAGTTGTAGTAGTATCAAATATCCAGCAGTGTCAGAGTCATCGCGGTTTTACATTTCCTTATTTAACTGCACATTTTTCTCAGGGCATTTTAAGAATATAGTGAAGACGTTAGAGGGGAAAAAAACAAACCATGGGGAAAGAGTGGAGGCTTGATGCTGGTGGATTTAATATCATCCTTTGGGAGGATGCCTACCACTGTGCTGTGTGCTGTGCCCCAGTGTCAGGTTTGCCAACATTGTCTAAGTTGAAGTGCACTCAAGTAGACAGCCTCACTGTCATTTTCAGTCATGGAATTTTCTACAGCTGTGCTACACTATCATTTTACAGGATAAGAGCTGTAAGAAGTGAGGGTGGGAGAGAATATTATGAAGGACTTCAAATACTTTATTATGAAGAGTCACCCCTTTTAAGAAGTTAGTTTCTGCTCATGCATCTATCTGTTTTGAGGCCCAAAATTACAGTTCTACCTTCAGTGAATTGTATTTAGCTTAAAATTCAACCTTATCCATTCCTTTTTGTTGCTGGTGGTGGTGGTCTTCTTTTGATTGGTTGTACTTTGGTTTTGGTATTGGATGTAGGCAGCTTCTCATAGGTTGTGTGAATAAGACTACAAGGGAGATGGAAAACTTGTATAGCAAACAGTTGTGTGCTGAAATACTGTTAATACCTTTGGACTTTTAGATTTTGTTTTTCATCCCATTTGGGAGGAACTTAATGAGAGATTAATCTTTGAAATTAATCAACTCCTTCTTGCTTTCATTGTCATCTAAGATTTTCTCCCTTGAAATATTCATTGTGCTATTGTGCTGTTGGTGTGTATTATTAATTACTGTTTGGACTAAATACATTCATCAAGCAGAAAAAAAAAATCTACATGTTTGGAAATATTTTCATGGTGGCATTCTTTTTCCATTAAATACAATTTTAAGTGGCTATTCCTGTAGAGAATCCTTATAACAATGCCAAAGAATAGGGCCATCTAGGGATTTCGCCAGTATCTCTCTAGTAATCTGGCTGGAGGATGGTGTAGATTCATCTGCAGATGTGAGAACACTTGTTTTTAGTGAGCTGTGTAGTTTTTTAGACTGTCCCTTGGCATCTGTAGTAAAATCCACATCCTCTATGCCCGCTGGTTGACTTGCAGCATGATTTGTTACTTGGCTTTCCATGTATTTTCCCTAATTCCTTTTCTGCCTTTTATGGGTTCATAAGAAATAATTTAAAGATGTGATTTTAAGTAAAAAGGTAAAGTTATGTCTCTTTGGCTGTTGCTTGTGGTCATTTAAAAAACTTTTTCACTCTAAAATGGTATAGCTATAGAATAACAAGGACTCCATTTACATTTGTTTATATTGCTTTAAAATCATGCCCTTTTGAGAGTCTATGTAGCATTATTGGCAGTATTAAATATTTTTCTTTAAAAATAATTTTAATGAATTTCCATTTTAGAAAAATGACTAATAACTTCATTTCATTAATTTCAATTCCTAAATATGAAATATTACATTCTATTTGTTTGCTTATTTTAGTAGTTTGTTTG